AAAAAACAAATATATATTAGCAGATGTCAAAAAAACATAATATTATTAATAATATTATTATAATATTATTAATATTAACACACAAAAATAAATATATTGTTCTTAAAAAATAAATATATTTTAAGTAAAATAATAAATATATTAAGTACATTTAAAAATAAATTTTAAAAATATATATAATCAAACAAAAATAAATATATATTAGCAACATAATTATGGCACAAACGGCGCCTCATATACCTGCATATAGAATTGGGGAAATCCAGTGCATACAAAACCGATGTATGAGAACAGTATTGTATTTTAATAGATATGTATACTCCAATTTAAACTATGTTAAATGTACTAAATATTTTACCAGTTTGTGATAGAATATTGTTTAATACTTTAATGTTTATATATAAAATGAAAAACCATATTCTACCTCAGTATTTGTGCCAAAATCTGTCATTGGTTTCTGACAGAAACAGTTACACACTTAGAAGTAGCAATAATTTCAATATAGGTATTTGTAGAACAACTCAGATGAAAAACACTGTATTTTATAAAGGATTGGTACAATTTAATTTACTACCAGCTAAAATAAAAGAAAGCTTTAATATTAAACATTTTAAGACAAATTTACTTGAGCACTTCCGTAGAATCCGTGATTAGATATATATAAATTATTTATTTATTGTTATACTGTACATATCTTGTGGACATGTTATATTTATATTGTTATGTTATTTTTTGTATGCTAAATAAAGATTATTATTATTTTTAGGGTCGAATCCAGATATTTCGTTTGGGGAGGTCACGTACCGTGGGATGAATTTAACAAAATATTATTATATTTTGAGTTAATTATTTTTTAGTTTTTTGACTTAAAAACTGTAAAAAATACAATAATAAATTGGTTTTGGGTAGTGACCCCCATGACCCCTTCCCTGGATCCGCTCTTGAATATTTTATCAGATAAAAAAGTTGATTATTAAATTACCCTAAAATAAAAACAAATCCAGACTCTAAAATATATACATTTTTTTGAAAAATAAGATTATTTTTTTGTATACATTTAAATTTTTTTTGTGGGTCTTTCTTTTTTTATTTTTAATTATTTTGCATGAAACTATTTTCCAAAAAGAAAAATCAAATAAAAAACTTACTGAGCATAGTTTGACAGATTAAATTTATAGGTTAAGTGATATACGTCTAGATTATTTCCATTAATTTAAGGTATGTAATAAGTAATAATTGATATTTCGTAAACTAGATAACTTATTTTTTTTTAAATGTTTGTTAAAACTTGTAAATAATAATTTAATCGCTGTTAAATAGTTCTAGTGATTTAATCGCTTATTTAAACGAAATTTATTTGAAAATTAAAGGCTTTTGATTGGTTTATATTATAATGAGAGAAATAATCATTAAAAAATAATAAATATTCTATTTACACTTGACTATTAGGTAATGTAGAGTAATAAAAGTCATGTTTCAATAATTTTTCAATTAAAATAAAAATGTTCATTTTAATTGATAAATTATTGAAACATGGCTTTTATTACCTAATAGTCAAGTGTAAATTATTTTTTGAGAAAATGATTAATTTTTGTTGTCATTACTTATGTAAAAAAAATCGATTTTTAAAAAAAATCAAGTATAGTAAAAAAACGTTTTTTTACGATTATTGATATTTCGTAAAAATTATATTGTTTTACCGAAGGACACTGGATAAATTTCACGAAAAATATGATTTTTTATATTATAACTTTTAAACGAGTTGACTAAGCAAAAAATCATATCAGATCTTTTTTGTAGATCGTTCAATTCCCTACCAGAATGTGTATTGATTTCTACAACTTACTGATTCGTTAAAACGCAATAAAATTACAAACAAAAAAATGTTTTTTTCCCGTGTTATTTAAATGGAAAATAAAAAATCGCAATGAGCCACCTCTTAATATTAATATTAAGAGCTCAAACTTTATCAGAATTTTTTTTTCGTCATCTTGGACGATATTTTTATGGTAACTAAAGAAAAAAAAATTAAAAGTTTTTTTTGGCCCACCCTAATATATATAAAACTGCAGTTTTAGTGATTTTTTACACTTTTCAAAGCTTTCAAACATACGAATTTTTGAATTAAAAAAATAATCCTAGTATAGATTCTTTGGGAAATTTTATGCTCTACAAGAATCCGCGACGTAAAAAATTTTATCTCAAACGGTTCAAAAGTTATAGTCTTTTTAATGAAAAAAGATTTTTTTACGTGTTATTTCAATGGAAAACTTAGAATGCTCACCGACACCTTTTAAAATTGAGCAAAAAATTTTGCCTTGCAGGGAAATTTTTTGCTCGGTATGTAGGTTCATTTTAACCCATAAATCCGATAGGTTAGTTTTTTTGGCTCACCCTAATATATATATATATATATATATATATATTATTTTTGGAAAACCTACCATTAAAGTTTTTAAAATAAATTATTGTTTTGGAACATGGTTTTTCTTGCTTTTAATTATCGTTGTGTCCCGAGGCGGGACTTAAGTTCGAGCCCGACTGACGTCACGCACTGTAAATCGGTATTATTTATCGAGCGTTATAAAATTCGATACTTGACGGCTCGACAACTTTTTTATTTTTATTTTATAAATTTACATAACGAAATTATTTCGTCGAAATTATACAATGTCGCATTAAAAAGCATTAATAATTAATTTTACAATAATACTTTAGATTATTTACATATGTTATTAAATTAATATTCCTTTGTTGATTGGTTTGTTTTAGTTTTATCGTAAAAATTACATAAAATCGTAAGATTATGATGCCAGACGGGATCGAACTTAAGTCCGGCCAGACACAGCGTTTAAATATAGACATTATAATATAGATGCGCCATTGCGCACCTATATGATGTGCTCTTTTGCTATGCGCAGTGTGCAAAGTTGAGCGTTGCTTTCAAGTTCACTTTTTTGTTTTTTTATTATAGCCCAAGTAATCGATCCTAACTGAATGGACGATTTTTTGAGGTTCTAGACTTTTTCAAAAGTTACTGCTTTTCAATGTACAGGGGGTTCTTTTTTCAAAACTTTAATTTTTGTGGGGCACTTGCAATGAAAATAATTAAAAAAAACTACGGATTCGTTACGAGGATAAGTGTACCTAAAAATCTAGGGTAGAACGAACTGGCTCATTAAAGCCGTTTGGAAAATAAAAAATGGGTTTTTTGAAGTAACTTGAAAAAAATCTAGTACCTCAAAAAATCGTCCATTCGGTTATGTTTGATTACCGTAAGGTTTGGGATCGATTACTTTTAAAATTGGGCTATAATAAAAAAAAACAAAAAAGTGATTTTAAAAGCAACGCTCAACTTTGCACACTGCGCATAGCAAAAGGGCACATCATATAGGTGCGCAATGGGGTTTAGTACATAATCAAAAGTATTAGATGTCAATTTCTCAAAAAATGTACGGTTAGCGAGTTATGAGCCAAAAAGCAAAAAAACTCCCCTTTCGGGGGATGAAATTAGGGGACGCGGAAAGAAATTTTTGGGAAATATCCTTAATTCATTATCAACACCCCTTACTCTACATAAAAAAACCCGACTACCATCGAGTTTTCCTTCTACAATCTTTGTTTCCTAGACTATGTAAAGTAAAAATAAATTTTTCTTTTTCTTTTTACAATTCTTAAATTGATATAAATAAATTAAACAAAACAAAAATAAAAATTTGAAACAAAACACATATTGATTCAGCAACATAACGATATAAATAAAATAGAACATAACCTAAGAATTTGCCGCCGCCTCCGCACCTCATTTCACTACAGTGGAATATTTATAATCAGCAGTATGCCCCTGTAAATGGAATGCGGCTATATTATTTGTAAAAAATAATATTTGGTCGGTAATACAAATAGAAACAATTTTCGCAAAAAATATTTTTCAATAAAAATTAGTTAAATTCCTTTTCGTAAAATTCAGCAAAATTCCCTGACTTTTTTACAATTATCTAATTTCCCTGACATTTCCCTGTTTTCCAGGTGAGTGGGAACTTAAAAAAAAAGTTATTTTTGAATTGTTTAAGAAAAAAATAGCACCAAACTTGTATAAGAACTTTGACATGGTGCTTTTTAAAATCAAAGTTATTTAACTAATTATTATTATTATTATTATTATATACAACAATGTTGTATTTCATAAAAAAGTTTATGTAAAGGAACCTATATCCTAATTAGTTAAATAACTTTGATTTTAAAAAGCACCATGTCAAAGTTCTTATACAAGTTTGGTGCTATTTTTTTCTTAAACAATTCAAAATTTTTTTTTTAAGTTTTTAAGGAAATATACTTATATTCATTGAAAATCTCACGTCAACTTTTGAGTTCAAAGAATATGTAATATAATTCAATTTTAGAGTTTATCATGTTGTCCGCAAAGAAAGTTTGGCTAGAATCTCACGTGAGGGATAAGGGGAGTCTACCACATATCACCAAGGGGGAGGGGGGTCCAAATTATCAGAAAAATACCTCACGTAATGACGGATGACACCAGATAATTACGGTGGTGCACTAACCGTATAAAAACAAAACAAATCGAGTGTCAGTTGTTACGAAAGAGGGCAAACGCAGATATAACAGATAAATAGACGAACGAAATGCAGGCAAAAGTGTATAAAACCGGACCAATGCATGAAAACTAAACGTTGTAGACCCGGTTGAAAGCAAATAATTTCGGGGGTGCACTAACCGTATAAAAATACTCGGATATAATTTACATCCGCTTTCGTTCGGAATTTACATCTGCAAACATCCGTCATTTTCAGCAGGGTAGATCTAGTTTTTTCTATAAGATTACATTCTTTTTGTTTAAGTTGTAGTAAAAAGTGACCCAATGGTAATTTTGACAAGGTCATCCCACCATGCGATGGTCTAGAATATCCTTATTTAAATTTCTTCAAAAACTTCAAAAACAGCTATAACTTTATAATTTAACAATACACAAATATGCATACCTAATTTTCTTGGCAGCCATCCTTTTACTGTTCTGGCACGTTCTACGTCAACCAAAACACGACGACCATCGATTTTCTTCCCATCAGCATGTTTGTAAGCAGCTGTAAAATTAATGTTAAACTAAAGATAATGCATTTTAACAAACCAAAACCCTCTATGACATTTTGGTTAAAATAAGCATAGAGAGTTCTATGAGGTTAGAATTACCTTGACCATAAAAAAAATTCTGTACTTATTGGGGTTTAATTAAATAAACTTAAGTTAGAATTGAAGTCACTATAATAAGAAAAAAGAGAAGTACATCAAAACGTTATAATGAGAATTTCATCACTTATATATTTTAATAGCAATCCAAATTAAATAGGTATATAGAAAAATACCTACCCATTACTTACTTACGTATTAAAAAACATCTAATTGAAAATTGAGTTGGGTAATCTTTAATTATTTTCCCGCAACGGCTACTTGGGATCCTTTCTACATTTACCTGGTGCGCACGGTACTTACAAAAGCGCATAACCATTAAAATTATAGATTATAATGTATACGTCAAAAAAATTAAGTTGAAATTTGAAAAATTTGGCATTTTAAATTTAACAATTAATTGATGAAAGTAAATAAAATCTAAATATGGAAAACTAAAATTTAATTTTTTTACGTAAACGTTTTTGGTGGCCTGTTTCTCTCCTTAACTAAAATAGCAATTTAATTAATAAATTTATGTTTTATCTAAATGCAATTTATATTTTTAATTAGACTGAAAAAAACAATTTGGAATCCAATAAAATTACGAATCTATTATTAACGACTTGCCAAGGCTTTTTGTTTTAAATAAAGAAAGATTTAAAATGACAATTATGATGTGAAAAAAAACACTAAAACTTAAGATATAAACCGACTCTAGAATCGGTTAAAGATTACAAGGTTAAAAAGTAATTTATTTTTTGACATGGTATTATCTATTTTTTTATAGTAAAACGTCAATTTAAAATGTTTTTATTAAAAAACATTTATTTAAAGAAACAAACACTAATTAAATTACGGAATTTTAATATACTATAGTTAAAAAGTAGTAGTAGTTGAAAATATAACACAATTATATTTAGGATCCCAACTTAGTTAATAATTGTTTCTATATTATTAAAATATATCTTTGTTAAGTTAATATGTCAATGATTGTTTGGCAAACTGTTTAACACGTTTTGAAAATTGTCCTCGTACTTTTTTATTTTAAAATTTATTATGTATAAATGGCAGGGCCCCCACGGTTAAATTACAAATTTTATTTAGGAATTTAGGAGGTTTTTTGGAGAATTTTAGGAGAAACTCTTTAAGTATGCAAATGAATTTATTTTATTAAGTAAAAACAACTACATAAAAAATAAGAAAAAAATAAGTAATTCTTTTTAACAAAAATATAAATAAATATCACTTCTTTTGTACAAATAGGTTATATTGACTAGATTTTTAGCCAAATCGCTCGACGAGTTTTTTTTTTAATAAAATGAAAAATAAGGTAAAATTACTACTTTTGTATATATACAAAAGGTATATACACAAGTAGAAATTTCACCACACTTTTAATTTTATTAAAAAAAAGCGTCAATAGATATGACTAAAAAAGTAAGCCAAAGTTTAATGATGTTACATTTATATTAAAAAAAGAAAATTTAACAGTTTAGTTAATAACTAACAATAATTGTAATGTTATTCTTACTAAAAAATCTCATAATAGAAAAAATATAAAGTGCATGATACAGCAAAACATTCTTTAGATTGTTTACTACTTTAGCTATTATTTTAAAGAAAATTAAAAATCCTTTTGTTTGATATAACACGGTATATTTTTGTTGAAAATTAACGAAATATGACTAAAAATGATAATTTTGTAAAAGTCTAGAAGCTACTACATGGATTTTGTTTTATGGTATATTTTGTTGATTTTTAAGAAAAATGTAGGTTGTGATACCTATATCATTTTAAAAAGAATTTAATAAACTAGAACCCAAAAATATATATTTTTTAAATTACTTTTTAAAAAAGAAATTTTCAAGTTGGCCTACTTATATTTAATTTTTAGGAGTTTTAGGAGATTGATGGCAATTTTAGGAGAATTTTAGGAGTTTTTAAGATTTAAGCCAAATTTTAGGAATTTTATGAATTTTAGGAGGTGTGGGAGCCCTGAAATGGGAAACTTTTAATTTAAGAGATAAAAAGTAATTACTTTCACCAATATAATAAACAAATTTTAGTTTTGTCGGCTGTAATACCACAAGGCTTTAAATTTATAGGTTAATTTCCGATTTGTTGTTACATAGTGACAAGATTTGAAATTCTGAATTTCATTGTAAAATTACGATTCGAGGAACTATGCAGGTATTAGGATGCAATTAACCAATTTAAATTTAAAGCATAAATGGTAATCAATAATATTATTTTGTATGACACATTGTCTTAATTACATCTTTATAGCCTGAATCGTTAATTTTTTTCACATTAAATGCCCAAACCAGTAATGAGGAAAATTTTTAGAAATTAAAAAATACGCTTTAAAAGTATTTCCTTGAAAAAAAAGATTTTTACTTAATAATATAGTTAATACTATTAGGTATGATATTTTTACTCATTTCTGGACCAATATTTTCACGATAAATGTTGGAACTTGCCCTTTGAAATATCAGATCAAATTTTTAACATAATATGTTAATTAAGTTAATTTATAAACATAGCGACGGAACATATTTAGAGGTTTCTCTATGTAAACCTTTTAATTTTTTGAGACTATTAAACTGTTTTTATTATTATTATTAACAATTAAAATCAACATGAGAAAATTATAGAATTGTGGCTATAATTCGCTGTAGGTTCCCTCAACAACATTGCCTTAACAATAAAGGCAAATGTCAAACAAATTAAACATCCCCTTAATATTTGTAATTAGTATGGTTTCTTTTAAATTAAGTAATAAGGTTTATAGAAAAAGAATTAGTATATAACACATTTTAGAGAACGCCTCATAACAAGCAGCATCTTGGACAGGGACGGATCCAGAAATTTTGTTTAGGGGGCCACGTAGAAAACAGTATTTTTTTACTTGGGTATCTTATTATTGTTTACACTTTAAAAACAATTTTACACAAAACATATTTTTTTGATATCGTTTAACCCTGCCTAAATGACGATACTTAAACATTTTTATTTTTATTGTTTTTTACATAATAAAAAAAATAACCCGCTAGTAAATGCAACAATATTTATATAGGAAATTTTACGCTATACAAAAAAATTTCTTTTACGTTTTTTCGTAAAACCATTCATTTAAATGAAATCGGAGGTCAAAGTTTAAAATATAAATAATAGTGAAAAATTAAAAGTATTAACATTTAAAATTTTGACCTCATATAATATAAATCGATAATTTTACGAAAAAATCATAAAATACCCTTTTTAAAAAGCGTAAAATTCCCTACAAATTGTATCACAGATACTAAATGGCCTAAAGGAATCTAGAATTAGCCAACCTGGCTAAACTGTAAGGTAAACATTAAATTTTCTTAGTTTTTTCAAGAAACTTTTTTGACCTATTACTGGTATTATTTAAGAGGAATTGAGCCTTCACCTCGCCAGAGTTTTTGTTTTGAGTGCGTTTCACCAACTTCCAATACCGACAGACATCTGTTTAGACCTATATTGGGTCTCATCAGTGTCGGGCAACTTGGTGTAGTGGAACACACCCAAAACAAAAGAATACCTGAGCTTATATACTGCCCAAGTAAGCCAACAGATTTGCCGTGCGTTCTTGGTGGCATAGTATTTAATTCCTCTTGAATATGACCAGTAATGGGTCAAGAAAGTTTCTTGAATGTTTAGCTTACAGTTTAGCCAGATTGGCTAATTCTAGATTCATTTTGGCCATATTGTATATGTGATACAATTTGCCAAGCGTTCTTGGTTGCATAGTATGTACCCATCGCGGCAAAGGCTACGTCTTTAGACGGCGTGGATCACGTGATGTCCTTACATCTCGCCTCTGTTGGCTTACATGGCCAGTATATAATCTCAGGTAGTCTTTTGTTTTGTGTGTGTTCCACTACACCAAGTTGCCCGACACTGATGAAACCCATTATAGGTCGAAACAGCCGTCTGTCGGTATTTGAAGTTGGTGGAACGCACTCAGCAAAAACTCTGGCGAGGTGAAAGTTCAATTCCTCTTGGCGCATGTGCGCATATCAAAACCAAAAAGTTTGAAGATTTCCCAGTGAAGTAAAGGTTATATAAATATTATTGTAATGGTTGTAAAAAATATTATTTTAATATAATTAATATTGTTTATGTCAGGTTAAGAAGAATGGGCAATCTTTTTGCAAATTCCCTTAATTTTAGATCTTAATTTTGCGCATTGTGAATGATCGTTTTGTGTTAATTTTAAGTATAATTAAAACCACTAATGAAGCTTTACTTCTCCACAAGTTTCTTTCCTTATTTTTAAGAGGAATTGAACTTAAAATTAATTAATTATTGTTACCAGAGAAAATAATAATTATACCTACCTATTTTTTTAATTTTATAAAAATTGTTCTACATGCTGTAAACGGACGCCAAAAAAGTGTATTTAAATAGCATACTTTATATATTAATAAAATGGCAGCCTGGTATGAACTTTTTTTATATCACTTTTTTTATATCACTTGCACTATTTTTATTGTTGTAAAAATTGTTGTATATGAATTAACCAGATGCCAATGAAGTAAGTGTTTTCAAAAACCATATTTTTTTCAATACTAAAATGAATGATTTTCTAAAACTGCTTCTTTCTGGTAATCGTTTTGCGTCTGCCTGCATCTTGTAAGTTGTAACCGGCTGCCAGTTTTATTTTCTGATATAATTTAAACAAACCCAACCATTCATTGGCATACTGGTATGAATCGTTAAAATTGGGATGTCATGTACAAGTGCAAACCGGCTGGCACTTGTTTTTCATAAATAATTTGACTGGTATGAATCGTTTTTTATGACGCGTTTTTCTAAACGTTTTTAAGTTACTGCCTACAAGTTGAAAATAGCTAGCGATGGATTTACTTCTTATAAATTTTCGACCACTTCAATGGCAGCCTGGTAAAAAATTGAAATTTCTCATTTTTAAGATTATGCCCTACAGGTACAAGGTCCCCCTTTTTTTAATGCTTTTATCGTACCTAAATGATCAAATATTTGGTTCTCAAAGAGGCAGCCTGGTATGAGACGTTCTCTAAAATGTGTATAATGTATATGTGTAGTTTTTTTTATAAAACACCAGTTTTTAATTTATGACAACCATGATTATATTGTGAAAATAGCAAAATTCTTACGTCAACTATTAACAAAACGCTTAAAAAATGTAAACAAAGTATAAATTTTTGAAATGAGGAAAACATATTTACATCTACAAAATTTACAATAATTTTTTTAATTGCAATTTCCCGTGGTTTTTTCTTTTACTCGGGGGCAACCGAAATATCGAATCAAATGAAATCTGGACAACTATCCCCGCTAAATTTCTTAATAAAATTTTGTATGCAGGGTTCTTACCACACATACAAACCTATATAGCCAGCAAAAAGCGGATGTTTGGGGCACTAGTTGCGTGCAGCTCAGTACTGTATAAGAAAATAAAACAAATTAATTTTTGTCAGCTAGGTTAAACAATATCGGAGTTGCTGGCTACATAAACTAGTGCAAAAAGTTAATCAATCACTTTAAAACCATCCCTTTAAGAAAGAGTATTTTAAATGTATTTTAAAGTGATAGTTTAACAATTAGTTACATACTATGTGTTTACTTACAGTGCATATCTCTTTCATGTTCATATTCAATAAAAGCATACCCCCTGGGTTTTCCATTTACACTATTGTGGATTAAAACTATCTGTAAAAAATATTTAAATTAGATTGTATGTTTATTTAAAAGGAGTTTTAAGGCATTTTTTGTATATAATTATTTAATTTGTCTTGAAACGATATGCCACACTGTATATATTTGAATGTTTTGAGACTATTTATTTTTATAAAAGGAAAGAAAACAATTTTTTATCTAGTTTTAAAAAGAACAAGTTAAAATTTGTTAATAACAAAGTTTAAAGTTTTAATTTAATTAAGATGTTGACGTGAAAATGACGTTTATAAAATGAATAATTTTAAATTTTGTAATTTCCAGTTGAATATGACTTTTTGTCGTAAAAAAAGATAAAAAGATTTTCGTTTTTTTCCATTGTGTACTCCATCCGCGAACATACTGTATTTAGATTTAGAACAAATTATTTTCGTTGTTTTGATATACAAGGTGTCCATAAACTTATTGGCATAAATTTAGAAAAAGATTGAGCAAGTAAAAATAGGTCGAAAACCTAAATAAATATTTTTCTCTACGACTACTTAAGAATAGTAACATTCTAGTGTAATTTTTGATCATAGAAAGGATGTTTTTCTGCAATACTGTGCGAGAATATTCCTACTCTTGTTTAAGAATGGTCACAAGTAACGACATCTCCTGGCTGTTTACTAAACTTAAAAAATTTAAAAATATTTATATATTACTGTATTATTTATTAATTAAAAAATAATAGCAGTTGTATAATTAAGGTTTAGGCACAAAAAATTAGTTATATTTATTGTTTTTCAAATTTACAAATCAAAATTATAATAAATTTGATATTAAAATGATAAACCAGTTACCTACTATACCGGCTTTGAAGTTTTGACAGATTCAAAAAGTTTAAAAAAAGACCTTTAAAATGTAGAAAAAGAATAGATGTTGACATAGATTACTTGTAAAATTAGTTTTGTATTTGTAACAACGTTATTTTTTTTATTAGTTAGTGTAAATAACTATTTTTAATTATAATAAAGATTTAGGCATACCATTTGTTTAAATTTATTATAATTTACATTATAAAATTGTGACGGCACAAAATGGTTTGACAATACAAAAAACCTAAATGTCAAAAACTGCTTGGTTTCTTTTCTCTGTTTAAAATTATATAAGCGTTACTATTCTTACGTAGTCGTAGAGAAAATAATGTCTGAAACACGTTTGGAATAGCATATTCCACTCTCGTAAAACCGTCACACTCGCCTTCGGCTCGTGTGTCAAATTTTTCCTCGAGCGGAATATGCTGTATTCCAAACTTGTTACAGAATGTACTATTCCTAATTACTTATGTTTCCAAGATACAGGGTGATAAAGTGTTACTTATCATATCAGTTTTTTTAATATAACTTCTACTATGGTAGTCTTGGAAAGGTGATATCTTAAGAACAGTCACTTACTACCAAAACACATATTCACACATAATTACAATTGTTTGAGTGAACGCAGTGTCGTAGAAACAGGGTTTAAGCTTATTGTCCCATACAAACTTTGAGGTTAGGTTTTTATAACATTTGATGCAATTTTTCGATTACACAGTTCGGCTACCATTAAAAAGGTGTACCTCTCAAACTTCGATAAAATAAACCGTTTCCGAGATATTCGAGATTACAATATTTGTTATATCGCCTTATTTAAAAGAATTAAAAGGTATATTATAACAAATTTTATTTTTTAATTGAAAAAACTAAAAAAGGCATTCCATGAGCTTTGAGACGTTTTGCCCTGACCGTCACATTAAAAAAAAATTGTAGTTTTTTTAATTAAAAATTTGTTATCATATACCTTTTAGTTCTTTAATGCGATATAACATTTATTGAAATCTCGAATATATCGAAAACGGTTTATTTTATCGAAATTTAAGAGGTACATCTTTTTAATAGTAGCCGAACTGAGTAATCGAAAAATTCCATCAAATGGTATAAAAACCTAACCTCAAAGTTTGTATGAGACAATAAGCTTAAGCAACCCCTGTTTCTACGACACTGCGTTTATTCGAACAATTGTAATTATGAGTGAATATGTGTTTTGGTAGTAAGTGACTGTTCGCAAAATATCACCTTTCCAAGTCTATCATAGTAGAAGTTATATTAAAAAACTGATATGATAAGTAACACTTTATCACCCTGTATCTTTTAAACATACGTAATTAGGAAAAATATTTATTTAGATTTTCGTCTTATTTTGACTTGCTTAATCTGCTCCTAAATTTATGCCACTATATATATATAGGGCGTTTTAATAAAAACTCCATGGCCAATTGAGGAGCATCCGTGCAAAACCGGCTATATCCACTTTAATAAAATGTTGGGAAAATGGCAAAAACTCTCGGTTTCCTGGCCTTTGCAGATAAAAGAAAAAGCAAACTTGAGTTTTGTGGGCTTTGTGGTCAGCGCCGGATTTAGAGGGGGTCTTTGGGGGTCTATAGACCCGGGGCGCAAGCTTACAGGGGGCGCAAAATTTTTGACTGGTAATTTTTGTTTTTTACTACAACCTAAAGGGTTTTCCCTTTTTTTTATTTTTCGTGTATTAATAAGTTTTAATAAAAAAATTATTTAAATTATAACCGTGATTGTTGCCATAGTATTATTATCTATGCATAGTATACGAAATATGTCATGTCATGATGTCACGTATTACGTAGGGCGCCCGACAAGTTGTTGGGCGACAAGAACTTTAGTTTGCAGAAATTGATTATTTCCACCAATGCGATGCGTATGGGCGTAAAGGTTTTTTAATATAAGAATATATTATTATAGAGATGGGAAAATTCCCATTTGACGAAAATTCCCGGAAACTTTCCATCGAAAATTCCCGAAATTTTCCGAAAGTTTCAAAAAAAAATTTTTTTTTGCGAAAATATTTTTTTTTATGCCAGGGATTTGCAAAAATATATAACACATTAACTTTTTGTCAAATTTTATTAAGAAAAAAAATAATTTTTTTTTTTATAAGAATGTAACTGCAATACTATTTTTAGTATCTTTTACTTTGGAATATTCCTATTGTATACTGAAACCTACAAAATAAAAATAAAATGTTTACTATTAGAAATTCACTGCTAGTAAATCCTAGATATTACGTAAAAAAAATTAAAAGGGACAAAGTAACTAATATATAGGAATATTGAAAAGTAAAAAGTAAAGTAAAAAATAATTCCAAACACTAGATTTTTCTCTTGGCATTGTGCTATGCCTATAAATAAACAACAAAAATGTAAGAATGATCTTAACTTTGTTTATTGTTTTTATTTTGTTTACCTTTTTTTAAAAAGTTTTTTGTGATGATGCTGAATAATCCGGCTTCATTGAGGTTATGTAACATAACTTACACACAAAACTAGTTTTGTGAACTTACATTATTTATACTTCTTCTTCTGCTTTACACACATTAAATTCTTATTCAAAGTTTCTTGGCCTTTTATCATGGCCTTAACGAAAATCAACGGTTAAACAATTGACATTTAAATAAAAAAAAAACAAGGAAAGTTTCCAAGGAATGTTTCCAAGGAATGTTTCCGGTAGCTTAAAAGAAACTTTCAAAATGAAAATAAATTCCCAACTGGAAACTTTCCAAAACGGAAAGTTTCCTTAAAATGGAAACTTTCCGATTCCCATCTCTATATTATTACACTACGAACAACTATTAATTTAAATTAGTTTAAAACTATAGTTATATACAGTACCAGTCATATATATATGTATGTATATATACAGTATAGGTATTAGCCTATTGAAAGATGACGGCAATATTGCGATAAACAAATTTGCTTCTCTAAAAGCACGCAAAGTTGACTTGGCAAAATGTTAATTTTCTTATTTAGGTATTTGTTTTTTATATAGTTTTTGTTTATGTTTTTAGGGTGGCAATATTTTTTCTACATTTTTTTTTTCGGAGCTCACATGAAACAATTTAAGTTTAAAGTATTCAAGTTTCAACTCAAAAAAAAATAAACGTCGCTCAAAAAAATCAACTAAATTGTAAAAATAGAAGTGGTTACAAGATAAAAATAATTAAAAAAATCAAGAAATGTATTTCAAAAATATTGACCCACCAATAATATTTTGACTTAAAAATGTATTATGTTCCTATACGACCTACAAAAAAAATAGTGAGAAGCCAAAGATTTTGAGAAAAAAGGCTGGTTTAAAAAAGTTTTGAGCGACGTCTAAAATCTTTTTATCTGTTGAAACTCAAATACTTTAGACTTATTTTTTTTATTTGATCTCCAAAATCAAAAAAATTTCGAAAAAATACTACAACCCTAATGTTTATGGTTAAATAAAAGCCTTTTGTTAAGAAGTGACATTTCTTTGAATTTATTATATAGGTAGGGGCGGAAAATTTTTATTAGACCCGGGGCGCAAATTTTTATAATCCGGCGCTGTTTGTGGTACTTGATTTATAAGCCATACTTTCGTTTTCAAAAAGTTTATATTAGGGCCAAAATTTCAAAAAATGTTTTGTACATAGCCGGTTTTGCTCAGAAACCGAATAAAAAAACTTTTATTATTCAAAAATATAAACAAAATAAATTTAGCGCAAACATGAAAAAACGGAAAAAATTTTAGTAGTAGTATCGACATATCCAAGCGACATGCTCATCATCATTATTATTTATGAGATATAGCCGGGTTTGCTATAAAAACATGGATTTGGCCGGTTTTGCTCCTAAAGCTACCTTTTAAATGTGATTTTAACATGGATATAGTCGGATTTAAACAGAATTATCTTGGTTGTCGATAGAAATGAACCCAAAGATTCGAAATAAAAAAAACCAAAAACTGAATAAAATGGATTTAGCCGGTTTTGCACAGATGCTCCTCAATTATTTCGAAAACTTAAAATGACATTTAAATTCTGTAAACGCCAGTTTTTAGCCTCTATGATTGGCTTCCCAACTGTGTAAAAAATGTGTTTGAATAATACAAGATGTAGGAGGCGCCACGGTGCAAATAATGACAGGAACTTTTAATATTGTGGGTCTTAGAGATAATTAA